GATGGATGAATAAATAAATGGATAGAGATAGACATGGATAGACATAGATGATAGATAGAAGTGTATTTCAATATGATTGGTTTCCTTTGTAATCCTATGTATTTTATTGTATTCATTTAAAAGCATTATTTTGAGAAAGGTTTCACCAGACTGCCACAGGGGGCCATGACTCAGAAAAAGTCAAGAACCCCCACACTACATCATTCTGTTTCTTATGTAGATCATGCTCATAATAGGTGAAGGTGCTTAATAACTGTCTTTGAAATGTAATTGAATTAAGTTTGAGACCAAGCATCTTCATGGACTAAAGAATGGTACTAAAGAGGGCTAAATTTCCATATTATTTAGATTCATTTTATACCATGAGCATTAGTTACAACCTAGCAGCTTCATAGTTTTGCTCTTAAGAAGGACCAGACAAGAATAAATAATCAGTAAGGTTTATTAAGTGCCTACTTTGTGGTAGTCGCTGTGGTAAGTGATGCTCAATGCAGCTTAATGCACGAGGTAGAACATTATAACTCTGTGGAGAAACCTTAACTACTTATCGAGAGCTAAGCCAAGTCACATGTTCTGCTGATGAAGGATCAGCATCATTGCGTGTGTCAAGGACAAGTATTTATTCCATTGTATGGAGCAGTTGCCTTTCCAAAGTTTCCACAAATTGCTCACAGTGCTGAGACCCCAGAAAGAGCTTGAACTTCCCCCTTTCTTCTCAGCAGTCAGCCTTTTGGTGGGTATTGCCAGTCCTCAGGAAAATAAATCTTATGCCAGCTGGAACCTGTATACTTAGAAAGGGTGGGGGAAACTCCTAATGACAATAAATCAAATCACTGAAAACAAATCCTTCCAGATGAGGAAATGCCACTCCCTCCCAACATCCACACCCCTATATACACATTTCCAAGGCTTTTATTTGTAATGCAAGAAGTTGGTGTTTTATGATTTCTTTCTTTTTATTTTCTTTTCTCTCTTTTTTCCTTCCTTTTTCCTTCCTTCCTTCTCTCCTTCCTCCCTCCCTCCAAACTTCCCTCATTCCCTCCCTCCCTTCCTTCTTTCTGCCTCTTAGCAAAAAAAATAAAAAAACCCAACACTCCTGATTTTGAATGGGTAGTTTTGAAAAGGATGAAAATGAAAATACTTTCTGACCATCAACTCTAAATCTCCTCAGAGACAAACAGATTCATTTTGAGAACAGGGAATTACATAGATTTTAGAGGGAATGGGCAGAAATTATTTGAGAAGAGACTCAATGAATTGTTTGTGAAGCTTGGTAAACAGGTTTCTAAAATCTAATAAATTTTAAATCCTCTTGTAGGATTTTCTTCAGTAAGAAAAAAAGTTTTACAATAGAAACCTCTCTTGTTAAAAAAAAATGAGGATGGAATGAATCATATTAGGAACTGAGGACAGACTTTGAGGAGTGAGCAAAATGTGGACCAGGGCTTAATTTTGTTCGTTCTGTCCAGATCGGCAACATAGGACCTATTTTAAATGTTTCCTAATAATTATAGAGAGCATGTTATTTTTCTCCTGGAATTAACAGCTTGGTGCAAATATTGACTCACAGCTGAAATTGGAATCTTATTGTCTTTGGGACTTTCTTTCTGAGAGTCCGAGGGTCAAGTCTTTACATACTAGCCCTAACATGGCATTGAACATTCACATCTGCACCGCTGGTTGGCAAAGTCTTAAATTCATTGCGGGATGTTGAACAAGAGAGAAAGTACAGCTGTTTCCGATACCAATTTAAAATAAAAGCCAAAGCAACCCTACTGTCCTTGTCTAGTTTCATTTGATAATCTCTACCTTAAACATCCTTTGCCAAGCTTCTTTGAGAAAATATACCTGACACAGACTTCTTTGACTAATTTTAACTGCTTTGAGATCATCATTTGTTTTCTTTGCAAATGGGTTCACAGACCCTGATTCTCTCTTATTTTTAAAAGAACATTTGGTTTCTTACTGTGTTTCTCTGAATTTTTCCAGCACTAGCTGGTACATAGTCTGAAAACCTCTTGTGAGTGAATTAAATAGCATTTAATGAGGTCTGTGCTTAGACTAATGTGTCACATGATGAGCTCTGTAAATGGAGACAGATAAATCGGATGTTACAGTAGCTTGTTAAGAACTTTAAAAAACCCATCTTGGCAACAAATGAAGGCCTATAAAGGACTTTTAAAGCAATTCTAGCAAGTTCTTGAATCACTCAGCTGTAAATTTTAAAATAAGAAAAATAATTGGGTTAGAAGGAGCCGCGTTCTCTTTTCATTTTTCCCCCTGCATTTTTCATAACATTGGAGAGTTGTGTCTAATGGAGCCTCTGGCAATAAGACTGTTCTTGCTAAAGGACTAAAATTCATACACAAAGTACTCTATCCATGTCTGGAGAACAGGTGTCTGATTTTAGATTTACTCTACCACGCTTGGGGGCAGATATGAATGTCAACAGTCATAATCTGTTGGCATTAGCATCTAAGCATCTGATTCTCAACCAATTTGACTCCATGGGAGAATGCTCTCAAGATATAATTAGAATCAGATCCTGCTCTCATTAAATGAGGCTGGCAATCTAAAACCATGCAGATCACTGCCCTACCAGTACAAGACTTTGGTTGAGGGTATGATGGGGAAGGAGGAGGGAAATGATGTTAAGCAGATAAAGCTATGCTCAGAGGCCAGTTCATGCACCCATTCTAGTCAAGGTCATAATCGTGGATTCAAGCTATACGGTATTCATGACAAAATAAGCAGTGAATGAATAGAATTATACCCTATTTCTTATGTCTAAGGAAAACTACCCTTAATGTCTGCATTCTAAGTTTGGGTTTTGGGATTCTTCAAAATCAAGTCAGTGTCATATCAGGGTAATATCCATCTTTTCTATCTGTGCACAGATTATCGCCCTTGTCTGGAATGTTCCTTATCTATTGCTCTTGGAACCCCCAAACTCTTTTTTACAGTTGAAATCAAAATCCATCTCTTTGAAAGGGTCTTTCCTAACTCTCTCAATTATTAGCATTCATGTACAACCTACCCTCATGTCTTTAGTGACTGTGTGATTCTTTTTTAATATATAATCTATATTTTTAGTCTGTGACTGTGTATCCTTCCTTGGTATAATGCAAGCTCCTAGAGTGCAGGTCCTTCCTACTGTATTTGCATATACAGCATTAATTACAGTACCTGGCATACAGCAGGTGCTTAACTAATGCTTACAGATTGATATTTTTAGAAGGAAGGAAATAAACATTTATTTTATATATATGTATATAATACACACACACACGCACACACACACACACACACACACATATATGTAATTTAGTAAATACTATGTGCCAGGGACTAGGTCAAGTGCTTTCATCCTAACCACAATCTTGTGAGGTGGGTGCTATACTTATTCTCGTTTTCCGACTGAGGAAACTATAGCAGACAGACGTTGTGACTTGCCCAAGGTCACATAGTTAGTAAATGTCTGAGGATAGATTTGAACCCAGATCTTCCTGACTTTAGGCCCAGCACTGTTTTCACTGAGTCACCTAGCTACCCCTATTTAGGTTCTATCTGATTGACTTTCTAGCTTGCCAAATTTTGTAATAATAATTATGCCTACAAATTATTTTTGTTCTCATCATCCTATAAATAATTTTAGCTGTTGATGATGCAGGATTTTTGTTATGTGTTCTCCACTGTGGTCCATGAGATTTTGTGCCCTTTGCTAAAGAATGAGATTCTGGTGATTCATTGGCTGGATTATTTTCACAAAGATATGTGTGAGGAATAAGGACCTCACCTGAATACAAAGCACAATCAACTGACGTTGCATTAGACCAAGATTCCAAAAGTTTCCAGCTTCCAAAAATTCTATTAAGCTTGATCCAAATCCTTCATCATTTACTTATCTTTTTAGTTTAGGTGGAATGAATGGTTAAGTCTAAGGTTGTATTAAGAATCATGATGCCATGTGGCTTAAATTGGAACATGATAGTACATACATGCCTCTGAGGTAGGTTCCTCAGACATGTCATGGCTCACATTTCTTTTTAATCTGGTTAATGAGAAAATTCCAAAGTTAAGAGTCAAACATGGTGAAATGGGACACTTGAGTTGAGGTCTGGGTAAAAGAGGAGGAAGAGAAATGGCATGTCAATGAAATAGAAAATAATTCTCTATAAGAAATTATGAGAGGAAGTGGCTTCAGAGAAACCTGAGAAGACTTATATGAACAGAAGCAAAGTCAAATAAGCAGAACCAAGAGAATAATTTATGCAAGAATGGTGAGAGGAAAAAGCCAATTTTTGTGACTTTCCTGTCATACTTGAATTCTAAACTAGGAAAATTCTCTCTCACCTCAGTCTGTACTGTCTAGGCAGAAACCTTTTCTTTTTTTGGAGGTAATCAAGGTTAAGTGACTTGCCCAAGGTCACACAGCTAGTAAATGTCTCAGGCCAGATTTGAATTCAGGTCCAGTGCCCCATCCACTGCTCCACTCAGCTGCCCCTTAGGCAGAAACTAAAGTCCAGATCTTTTGGGCCAACCATGACATGGCTGAATCTCCTGTCTATCTTCATCTTCTCCATGAAGGGCGTAGTTTGAAGAAGTACCTCCCACTAATCAATTAACACCTAATTCAAGGACTCTAGCCCTCTTTTATTCATCAGGTAACTACTGAGACTGGAAACATCAATCTCTTAGGATCAGTTATTTGGTGACCTCTGCTCTGAGAAAGAAACACAAAGCATAAGAGGCAGCCAGGGACTTGGGGTCCAGTGTTAGGGTTACTTCCATGTGCATGTTGCCACCAAAACTGATGGGGAAGAGAAATCCCATTCCCTCCTCATAGATGTCCAAGGGGAAGATGGAGTTGTTTGTGACTGCTTTAATAAAAAATAGGAACCCTCTCTCATTGTTTCTCACAGACCACAGAGTGGGTGGCTCTTCCTGGCTCCTCTAACAATCCCCCTCAGCACATCCCTCTCAACCTTGCACCATCACAGGGATCAGGGCAACAACCAGAAGCCGCTGTTCATTCATGTCCTTTAGTAAAGAGTCAGGGTGCGTATGAACCTCTGACCATCCCCACACATACACCCTAAGATAGCCCTTTCTACATTTAGAATTTTTTGATGAGTGTTAGTGAAATAATTGTTTTCTTTAAAACATTGAAGCTGATACTATTTCTGTATCTCTGTAGTTTGAAATATGGAAAATAGGAATTGAACTCTAGTACTAAAGTTTCTTTGGTTGAGCTCAAATTTTTAACAGCTAAGTATCACAGGAAGAAATTCAGAGTTTTTGTTAACAATTTTGGTCTCTATCAGAATAATTATGTCATACACATGCAATTTTCCTGAACAAAAGCTCAATTATAGTAAGTTATTTGTTTGTAACAGAAAAGTGAGGTTTTAAATTCCTCTATTAAAAAAAATAAAAAGCCTGAGGCTACAATTAAATGTTAAAGCTTCTCACTGAGTTGCAATGTATTTACAGATTTTTTTTTTACAATTTAGCTTCGTAACTTTCTGGACTGGGAATTTAATGATAGGCCTTTATTAGTCTATTAAAAGTATTTTCATTATGATGTAACTGAAGTATATATATATATAAAAAGATATGACTTAAAAGGCAGGATCGGGTTGTCATATACCCATAGAGGAAAGTCTTCTCACTTTATGTGGGAGTAGGAACATTTTTCTTTCCTGCAGTCTGGGGAAGTAGAGGGAAAAGAATATTTTCCTAAGATGCATTTCATGAAGAAGATGATATTGCACCCATTGTGGTCAAAAAGGAAGAGCAGGGTGGATGTCTCCTTGCTCAGCTCCACTACAGTTGGTAGCTTGGTAGGAACCTTTCTTCTGCTGCAGTAATGTTCAGGAATTCATAAACCATCTTCCAGCTGCTATCTCTAGACCAGAAGTAGCGATAAAGGATCTGGATCCTATCCAATCTTGATCTGGAAATAATCATGTAGGCCTATACCCTCATTTTATGGAAAGAGAAACTGAGTCCTGAGGGCTGAAGTTACTTTCCTGTCCAGGGATTGAAACCCAGGTACTCTTAACTCCTAATTCAACCTTCGTTCCATTCTAGCATACTGCTATTTGGACTTCTCAGAACAAAACTTAAATAGAAGCAGAACTGCAGGGGCTGATGGAGTTGATAATTTGTATAAGTATAATGTATTCTCCCTAAGGCTCCATCATTTCATGTGGGCATCTTGCTGCTGAGTTAATTCTGCTTAGAGTTCTAGGAATGATAGTTCCTGAAACCATTACTCTGATTCAGAGTCCTGAGACAACCAGTGGTTCATTTTTTAATTTCTCAAGGTATGGTGTACTGGTGACATGTGGATATCAAAAGTGCTTTAGGATTAAGAGATGAATATAATTTACTTTATTGTTCAGAGAAGATAAGAATCTGATTAGTGTCTGAACCCCAAAAAGTGATATAAGTACACATAAAGAAGATAATTTTGGCATGATGAAGGATGTTAGTCAACAAGCATTTATTAGGCACTTGCTGTGTGCAGACACTGTGCTAAGCACTGGGGATATGGGAAAAGGCAAAAACAATCCCTGCCCTCCAGGAGCTCATTTTATGGGAGAGGGAGATAGACTGGGGCCAAGGGTAAGGGGTGCGAGGGGAAGAGAACATACAAATAACTACATGATATATGTACAGGGTGAATGGAAAGCAATCTCAGATGTAATCTCAATGTTTAGTTGGAAGGGAAAGGGAAACTAGAAAAAGGTCTTTCATGGAATGTGGGTTTTGAGTCACGAAGGCAGCCAGGAGGTAGAAATGAGGAGATTGAGCATTCTACACACAGGAGATAGTAAATAAAAAGTCATATAGTTGAGAGGTGATGTGGTGTCCCAAGAACAGAAAGAAGGCCTGTGCAGCTGGATCAAAGAGACAGTAGAAAGCAAACAATGGAAGGCAGTAAAATATACAAAGACTGCTAAGAAAGGGGCCAGGTTATGAAGGGCTTTAAAAGCCAGGCAGAAATTTTTATATTTGATCCTAAAGATAATAGGGAGACACTGGAATTTCTTGAGTAGGGTGATGACATGGTTAGAATGGATTTGAATGTGGGGAGGGGGAGAGCAGAGAGAGGAAGACCTGTTGCAATAATATAGGACTGATAATGAGGTCTTAATTTGGGTGACAGCGGTTGTAATACAAAGCAGTGGGGCAGTTGTAAGATGTAGCCAAGAGGGAGATGACAGCATCTGGTAGCTGACTGGGAATGAGTGGTTAAGAGTCAGGATCAGTTAAAGTTAACTCACAAGAACTTGAACATGGGAGGAAAGATGAAAGAAAAAAAATGAAGTCAGGAGGAGAAACAGGTTTTCAAGAGAAAATACTCTGTATAATAGATGGTTATGTAGAGATGTCTTATGGGCTGTTGAAGTAGTGGGTCTCTACTTCAAAAAAAGGGTCAGGGCATGGAGTAAAAGAGATTGCCAAGGAAGAGAGGGTAGAGAGAGAAGACGAGAGGATAGAGAACAGATCCTCGAGGAACAAATTATGGAAAACAGAATAGAATAGTATGTATTATTAAACATAGCATTATTGAATATAATATAATATTATTGCACTGTAAGAAAGGATGAAAAACTTTCTGAGAAACTTGGGAATTCTTGTTAGAATCAAAACACGATGAAGTGAGTAGAAGCAGAAGAACAATTTATACAATAACATATTAAACGAATCAAGAAGAGCATGAGGAACCTTGAATAGAGAGAGGAAAAAAAGTAATAAGGGAAGAAGAACCAGAAGAATGTGGTGTCTCTGAAGCCGAGAGAAGAGCTTCCAATAGGTGAGAGTGGTCAATGGTATCAAAAACTGAAGAGAAGTCAAGAAAGATAAGTACTTGGAAAAAAAGACCATTGTTATTTGACAAGTAGGGTGACCTTTCAGTTTCAGTGGAGGGGTTTAGGTGAAATCCATATTACAAAGGATTAAAAAAAAGTGGATACTGAGAAGATAGAATCATTGTTTATGAACAACTTATCTATCTACCTATTTATTTATTTTTAGTTTTCAGCATTCACTTCCATAAGATTTTGAATTCCAAATTTTCTCCCCATCTTTCCCCTCCTCCACCCCAAGATGGCATGTAATTTGATATAGGCTCTACATATACATTCATATTGAACCTATTTTCACATTAGTCATGTTGTAAAGAAGAATTAGAAAAGAAGAATTAGAACCAATGGGAGAAACCACGAGAAAGAAGAAACAAAGAAAAAAGTAAAAAAAAAAAAAAGAGAGAGAGCAAATACTATGCTTTGATCTGCATTCAGACTCCATAGTTTTTTTCTGGATGTGGACAGCATTTTCATCATGAGTCCTTTGGAGTTGTCTTGGATCCTTGTATTACTAAGAAAAGATGAGTCTATCAAAATTAGTCATCGCACATTTGTAGCTGTTACTGTGTACAGTGTTCTCCTGGTTCTGCTTACTCCACTCAGCATCAGTTCATTCAAGTCTTATGAGATTTTTCTGAAGTCTGCCTGCTTATCATTTCCTGTGGCACAATAGTATTCCGTTACATTCATATGCCACAACTGGTTCAGCCATTCCCCAGCTGATGGGCATCCCCTCAATTTCCAATTCTGGCCACCAATAAAAGCTACTATAAATATTTTTGTACATGTGGGTCCTTTTCCCATTCGTATGATCTCTTTGGGATGCAGACCTAGAAGTGGTATTGCTGTGTCAAAGGGTATGCATATTTTTATAACCCTTTGGGCATAGTTTATGGCCAACTTCTTAAAGAAGTTTTGAAATGAAGGAGTTGGATGCAAACAGAGAGAGATGGAATAATAGATAAATAGGCTAGCATGATCAGAGGAAGGTTTTTGTTATGTTTTTAGGATGAGAGACACCTAAGAGCCAGCAGAGAGAGTAGAACTGAAAAGTTGGAGAGACAGCATGGCATGGTGTTTAGGGTACTGGACTTCGGCTTAAAAAGATCTGAATTCAAATTTTGATTCAGATACTCGCTGGCTTGCAACCCAAGGCAAGCCCTTTGTCCTTGTGCCTCCATTTCTTGAACTGTAAAAATAAATAAGAAAGTTGGATGCTTCCAGCTCTAAATCTATGCTCTATGATCCAGTATATAAGAGAGAAAGAAAAGAGCTGCAGTAATCCTGGGAATGGCATCAATGCTTTAAGTAAGTCCTAATAAGGATTAAGTCACTTCTGTGACTGTAAAAGAAGAGAGAGTTAGTGATGGGGAAAGGAGTCTTAGTAAGAGGGGCATAGTAAGAGGGCAGAGCAGGGGAACCCTCAAAGCAATCTTTACCCTTTTTGCCTCAGATAAGGAACAAGGAATATCTATCAACTGTGGAATGACTAAACAGATTATGGTATGTGACTATGATAGCATATTTGTTGTTGAGTCGTTTCAGTTATGTTCAACTCTTCATGGCCCCATTTGGGGTTTTCTTGGCGAAGGTACTAGAGTGGTTTGTCATTTCCTTCTCTAGCTCATTTTATAGATGAGGAACTAAGGTAAACGGGGTTAAGTTACTTGCCCAAGGTCATACAGCTAGTTACTGTCTGAGGGCAGATTTGAATTCAGTAGGATGAGTCTTTCTGGTTCTCACTGTGTTCTAGCCACTGTGCCACCTAGCTGCCCTATAATAGAATATTATTGCTCTGTAAGAAATGATGAGAAGATTGGTTCCTGATAAATATGGGAAGACTTTTTTTAGAACCAACACAAAATGGAGAAGAACAATTTATACAATAGCAACATCGTAAAGAAAAACAAATTTGAAGGAGGTAGGAACTCTGGCGAATGCAGTGATCATTCCAACTAGGATTCCTGAGAACAAATAACGAAACATGCTCCCCACCTCCTGGCAGAAAGGTAATGGAATGAGGATGCAGAGTGAGACGTACATTTTTGGACATGGCTAATGTGGGACTTTGTTTTTCTTGATTATGCATGTCTGTTACATGGATTTTTTATTTGAGGTTAAAGTCAGGATTTTTTAAAATAAAAAAATAGAAACAGAACAGTGCTATGTCTGATCTGTGTC